TTAGTTCAAGCAACACTTTACAAGCAGGGCAGGGTCAGATGTATCTGTGTTCGACTGTAGCGCATCTACGCTTCATAGCACCGTTGCATTAACATTGTTATTTTCTTACACATCAGTTGAAAAGTAGTGTTTTTGAAAATTAAATATTTCCAAATATAAAGCAATTTTGCTTCCCGCTGTGATTTTGTATGATTGCTTCTAAAGCATGGTCAGCCGTCTCGGTATGAGTTCTAGGTAGTAATGAAAAACTATTAAATGAACTAGCTATCAAAAATCATGAGTGGAAAGCATGACAGCTTTGCTGCATAAAGGGCCTAGTATTGGGTCTCAACAATATACATTAGTTTTTTTAGGCACTAACGCATGTGTTGGACTGTGACAATTTGCCCATTAACTGAGACATCGGTGAGGAGAAGTAAAGTGAGGTAAAAAAAGGAACTTGTTCAATTAGCTAACCGGTCTATCAGAAAAGGTGTTGCTTGCAGCTTTATTTTATTCTGTTTACAATTAAGCGACTGACCACAGAAGAAGAAAATAGACACTTCTGTTATCTTTTTGCATTAAATAAGTTAAAGTTGTGTTCCTCATCAGATAATTATTTAAGAGTATTTTCATCAATTTTGTTAAACCTTCATATCATTGATGAATGCTTTGTAAGAGCTGTCATAGCTTCACTTCGCTAAATTGATATAGAATTATGCTACATTCACTTAAGCTCTGTAAAGTTTGATCTCTGTGATTGTGAAATGTTTTTTTGGCAAAGCCTATTTGAACGAATATGCTTTCTCACAGTTATAGTGTGAGATCTGCTTTAATTTTAACCAAAAGTGACCACATAGCGGTGGAGGCATACACTATTGTAATCTAGCGACTGGGATGGGCTCAAAATGCGTTAATTGTATTTACCGTTTTCTTCGAAAGTGCAAAGAGCACATTTACCTATTCATTGGCCATTTATGATAGATGCATGAAGATCGCAGTCGGTTTATTCTTCACTCGTTGGTTAATTGACTACACCCAATCATTTTATCTGCTAAATTGATCACTCCGTGTTCTTAAGCTACAGCACTTTTTTTCATTTTTTTCCGGATTAGCAATTTGATTCCCTTGGCAATTTGTCAGGTAGTAATTTGAATAACGTTGTGCTTCATTTTCACACCAATTTTATAAAAATAAATGATAGGAATGTCTTGGTTTTTAGTTAGATTCTCCTCATATATTTATGCAGTGCTCGAGACTCCTTTGCAGACGAAAGAGGCCTTAATATTCAGGTAAAATGTATATTTGACTTGGCTTGGGGCTGCCGAGATGACATGGCGAAGCACCCAAGTAGCCTCATTGCAATATCCGAAATTTAAACAAACAACCAAAGCATTACAAAGTCAAGGTGCATTTAACCACTCCTAATATAAACACAGCCATTTTCTTTCGTTTGTGAGCACTCACAAACTGTGAAGTTTTACTGGTGAGTCAGTTACAAGCCATAATTATTTTATGATGAATAAAAATCATCATAAAATATTGTAGTGCCCCGAGTTTCCCTAAAGTAAAATGCAGTCGTAATACTGAAGCATGGCCTATCATTTCACTGGTTGCAAGGGTCAAAAAGGCCTAGCATTTGCTGTGAAATGTAAATTGTATATTTGCCTTTTCATTGGACGTGTATAATCGATCCACTAAGACCGCCGTTGATTCCTTTCCAATTTCCACTCATTTGTTAATCGATCACACCAATAAATCAATACAGAACAGCACATTTATCACTCTACCCCATTTTTAAATGCTCAATACATACTCCGTACCTATATAACTCAATTTCTATTCCTTAAAGCGGTCCTGTTATTTTATTAGAAAATAAGTTCTTCCGATTTTTTGTCATACAATAAATTCGATCATGTCGCACTTCATCTTAAAGTTCAATTTCTTCGTGTTGGATTTCTAAAAAAATTTCTCTCTTTATTTATGTATTGCATCAAGACTTCCCAGAAAAAGAAAGAAGACCTATTGTTATTGCGGATTACAAGTTTTTGAGGCAGTGCAGAGCCTGTGACTACTGGCATGGCCGGGCGAGGTTGCTATGGTGGATTACCTGAGTGATCCCATTACCGAAACATAGAGTTAAAAAATCGGACATCATAGTTAAGTTAATTCATTTACTTTGAAATTTCAAGATGGATTTAACAACTCTACAAAAAACATTTATTTTCTTTAAGTTTATGAGCCCCCATAAACTGTTAAGTTTGATTAGTCAGGCACTTCCATGTCACAATAACCTTATAACCACTTAAACTAAGTAATACTAAAAAAATATGTAACAGCGCCGGAGTCCTAACTGAAATCAAAAGAAGTCGCAATAATAAAGTAAAGAGAGAATTGCTGTCGAACAGAAGGATTGCGGGGCGACTGGAGGCGAAAGTACAATGGCAGGCTAATACAAACAAGGTATCAATCTTGCCTAGGGCTGAATGTACATAGTTGTTTTTGATTTGTTTTTGCATTTTAATGAAAAACGCTAAAAGGAGTGGCATATGCAGCAAATAATATTTGATTGTTTGTCGAACACTCTGTTTTGGTAAATGGGTTACTTAGGTGCTCCATCACTGTAACTTTGCGAAGAGGCTAGCCTTCCATTAAGCTCCAGTGTTTCAACTGTCAGTATCCGAGAATTATGTCTTCTTTCGTCTTTAGGGAAGGCTTGACGCACTACATTAGTGACACAGAAGAGTAAACCGGATCTGGGAGGATATATGACATGATTTTTACTACTGAGTCGTAAAACTTAGCTACCAGAAGAAGAGCATATGCTGCGGATGAGAGAAATGGTGACTACTTATTACAGGAGGGCTGCAAATGGCGTCTAACTTTGGCAACTGCCCTGGTTACATGGTCGAGAGGAAGGCCGGTTAAAAGGAAGCGGCACCAGCCTTGAACGTGGCACATCTGGAAAACCAAGTTACCGAGCTGTCAAGTGTACTGTATGAGGATATCAAATATGTAAACTTGCCACACATCCTTCACTTTCTACCACCTAAAGAGAACTCAGACATACATGGCTAAGCAGCTCTAAAGTTACGACAACGTGGTTAGGGGAAATATGTCTCAAGCCCTACTCTCGCGAAACTGTGCTAAATCCCGTTTATTTTTATGACTTTTCTTTTAGGTCAGTATTCTAACTGGTACATTGACACGGGTGATGACTTACATATTTCCCCATCCTTAAGTCCACCTCCCATAGAGGACGAAACTGCAAATTCTATAGAATTTCTAAGCTGTAGCAGTAGCATTTCGGCCAAGTATCGCCTTACCTGCATGGACATTCGATGACTGGTACGGATGGTTCGTAGGTTTTATTCTAACGGAACTGATTGCGTTGTAATTATGTTGATTAAGATGAGCGACGGGGACGACGATCAAAGGAGGAGGAGGAGGAGGGGCGAGGAGGGAGCAGGAGGAGGAGGAGATGGACTGTGCAATATGATGGTTGTTTGTTTAAGACTCGGTTTTAGTGTAAATACCGCTCAGGTGCTCTGACTTTGTACCTTCGTTAGGTGGGGTGGCCTTCGGGCCATGTCAGTAGTCTCGAGGTATACTGTGTATAATATGTACATATTCTGCCTGGGTAAGATTGGTTGTCAAATGTATTGCCTTAGAGAGCTAAACATTTTAAAACTGACCGGTAACGCAATTGTATTTAACCTCTTAAATTGCGAAGTTGTTTGAGTAAGAGACAATAATATTCAGCGATAAAAATACGAAAAAATAGACGCTATGAATTAAATCTCCTTATAATGTCGAAAATTTAATGGGGAAGACTACGTTTGTTTGCAAATTGCTTACCTATACTCTGACGAAAATTGCGACAAGTAGAAAGTACTTAGACAAACGTGGATTTAAAAATGCGATACTTTAGCATCTTAAGCCCTTTCTGAAGTCGGAAGAATTCATAATACTATGACAGCATTAGTAATTCAGACACACAGAAAGAAGGAGAAACAACTACTATGCAGTGCGATGGTGGTTTATCCCTCGGCATTGGTGAGGCACGAATTTTGAAATTTTGAATTGGCCTTCATTGTTAGAAAACAATCGAGGCATTGCAATAGCCTGCATCTAAGATACACGAAAACAAATGAAATTGGGCATCTAATGCAATGATGCAAAAATTCCAGCCTTTTAAACTTATTTTTAAACCTGCTTGATATTTGGCTGCCTTTTTTAGTTTTGTAAAGTCTTAAAGAAAAACTATAAAAAAGGGCCTATGCATTATTAAAAAATTAAGGATTGTCAAGATTAAACCATCTATCGAATGCAGTATTTCAGTGAGCCAAAGCCCTACTACAAAGCATAAACTTTGCAAAAGTTAAACATAAATAAACTTAGGAGGACAGTGCATTGCCCAGTATGTGTTCCTTTAGATGACCAAAATTCTGTTACCAATTTTTTTAAAGTGGGACACATCAAACGTTTTACAGAAATTAGAAAAATGTGCAATAGTTACTAGATCTTCTCATTACGCACCTGTTTGTATTTTTACTCAAAGTTGCTATACAAATAAATTAGTTGCTAAATCAGGTAATTTGACAGAATCAGTTTGAAATTCTTGCACACAAGGAGGTCAAGCCTTTTATTTATAAATAAGTGAACTCGTTACCACTGAAATGTCTTTATGCGCTTTCTTGCTTTAAGGGTTAAGTTTGGTTATCAAATAACGAAATCGGGAATGGCCTTCATTTACTGCTACCACGATCTTGGCGCCCGAATTTTTCTCTAAAGATAGTGGAAAATGCTCGAGTCAAGTGTGAACTTTGATGTAAAACTGCAGAGGGACTAATAGGTCGTTAACAGAAATAGTATAAGTGGAACTTCATAGTATCAAGAGGGTGAATAAGTCCCTGGAAAGTAAAGAGTCCTTGCAGACGAAATTACAAATTGAGTAAGAATTAACACGCTGCAGCAATTATGCAGATGTCGGTGGAGCATCTGTGCTTGCTTCTGACGAAATGCTCCAAAAGTCCGCCACCGTCTCTACCAACATTAACTCCGATGCAAAGACGGATGAGTTCCTGGACCCTACTGACGAGAACTTCTTTGCTGCTCTCCAAGAGGCAGTGGGCGAGGTGGGCGGAGTGGAGTCGGCTGAGGCAGAGTTCGAGGCGGAGAAGCGTGCAGTGAACGAGGAGGAGGCACTGAAGGATGTAGACACCTTCCTGCATGGGTGGAACCAATTGACTAGCCTTGGCACCGAAGTAGTGGAGGGGGAACTCCAGGACATGCGCCCAGGTGATCATAAGGTCAAGGGTGAATGAAGAGCTCGGAAAACATCTGATAAGCGCAAACAGGCTCTTTATCATTACTTTAGTCTAGAATCGAGTCTGGTGACGATTTTGCTTGCTGATAATTTCTTGTTTTTTGGCCATACAGTTTACATTGTAACTCATTTTTGCTACTTCCTTAGCATTCTACATTGTTAATGTGGTCTAATGCAAATGTCTACTCTTTGTCACAAACAAGCTTACATATTATTCTGCTCAATCTTTTGTACTTCATGCTTCACGATATAGTCTCTTTGCCAGGCTAAGAAAACGAGAGTTTGAGTACTTGCTACACGCTTTACTGTGAACAGTTGCTTGAGCATTCACCCAGGTTAGGCTTGCCTAAACTGAAGGCTGACGTTAAGTAGGGTGCTGGCGGGCAAATTTAATCACTATTTTTGGCGTTCCCAACTGTCTTTCTGCTTTTCCTAGTCAGCCACAGCCTTAGGTCTACGTTTCTCAGATTCATAGATGTAGTTGGAATTGTGGAGCTCCCTACATCTAGAAGTCCATTATGCTTCCCTTGTATCCTTTATCGTATTGGTAGACACACATTCTGAACATACAGGGTTGCTTTTAGTTAATCGTTTAAAAATAAATGCGTGTGCTAACAGGATACAATTCATGAATATTATCGCTTTAATCGACGATGAAAATTATCTCATCAGGTGAGAGGTATTTATGTGACACACTGAGACTGTCAAGCACCACTTTTCACACCTTCACCGTTTCCATTTAAAACTTTTGAGCTTCCTGGATGTTATGAGCAGGTTACTGAGCGGGAACTTTCTGGTCAGTGTGGTCGTGATAAATAATCTAGGGTCGCAATCTAATCGACTTGTCCCAATTCTCCATTTGTAAGCAAGGCAGCTCTTTGCCTGTTTCCAGTATTAAATATTCAAATTCAGTTGACATCTGCTTCAGAACACTAGTATTTCCCCCTAGTATAACGCCATTTATGTCAAAACCATTAGTCTAAGCGCTTCTACTTCTCTCGTCAGCACATCAGAAGCCTACCTGTCACATACCCTTCTAAATTAGAATTATCATTAATCACAGCATGGACATATTCTGCGCTGGCTTCAATCTTATGCAACTGCTTCAAGATCGAGCCTCCGTTCCTTGTGGGCAGTTTGTTCGAGTCTGTTCACGTTGGGGCCACTGCGTCTGTTAAGTCGCTATTTTTCAATCAACATTTGGCGACTACAGGAAAAAATGATTCCCGTACAGAGCAGGTGTGTCGGCTAAGTTGATAATATACCTCCGGCACAACTTCCGCCTGCATAATTTCCACCACATGAAGGGAAGGCTTTCCCGTAGCTGTACTTGGTTCAGGATGACAGTTGCTATTCTAAAACCACAAGACTAAATTATGCCATGAAGTTGGTAAATGATATTCACGAGCAACCGATTACTGCCTTCCCTTTTTTGAACACCTTCCATATTATTTGTAGTATTCTGGTCCTTTGACAAGCTCACCACCAGCGTCACTTAAACGACTTTCCCTGTATTTTATGTACTCATCGTCCAAATTGGTCGCGAGTAGCAAAGTTATGCTTAAAGCAATAAGGTGGATGTAGAACTTTCTTAGTCCAAGGAATGTCACACTTTTCCTTTTGTGGGTAGTGGCCGATTGGTGGGCAAATTTATTGACAAGTCACATCATGTTGGAAGGAATAAACAACTGGACTGTGGTAGTCATTTTTCTCTCTCAGACTTCAATCAAGAACACGTTAACTTAAGTAACCTTTGTGCTGTGTTGTCTCCAGCAGCTCTTCCGTTTGATTGATTCTCGGTTATTCTTCCGATTTTGATACCCTATTAAAAGCATTGACTAAATTTGAATGCTAAGGTCCCAAATGTTGAATTTAACTGCACGAGGTAATCCGTCTACGCGTATTTCAGTCCTGCACTACCTTTACCTAGTCTTCTTTTTGTGTTATTCAGAAAACAAAAAACAGCTTGCCTTTTAACTGATCTACACTGTTTCCGATATACCCAATCATTTTTCTCCTGTACCCCTTTATCTGCCACCTTATTCTACTGATTAGCAACTGCCTGTGTCTGTTCACATAAATGAATAAATTCATCACTTCCTCTGGGTGAAGCTTTGCGACCAAATCTTGATCAAAATGTCCCTAGGACCTCCGTCTTCAATATTTCGAGCGCCTACTCTACCTATGTCTTTTGCATTTTGAATTCACACCTTTATATGCCATGCACATCAGTCGTTTAAATACCGTATTCACCCACCTCCGTAAGGTTTTCTCCTACAATCCTTCATATTCTATTTATCTCTTCTTTTTTTCTGAACAGGTTTTTTCATGAATTTCAAATTTTTCCATCTGCAAATGCACTTACCTCTTGGATTAACACCTCCACAGCGTGTTTAACGAAGTTAATGATGTGAAAACCACCAACATAATCTTCCCATCGCAACCAGTTTATTGAGAGGTCAGAACTGAACGAATGCTAATGTAATCACTGCAGGCGTTGACGTTAGCAGCCATAAAATTGAAACTTTTCACGGCTTTCAGCAGCGAGCAATTTATGGTCTTCAAAGACGTCAGAAGGTGACCTCTAAATGGTCGCATTTGCCTCAATGGAAGGTCATGAGCAAAGCATCCCCTTTCTGTGGAGTGTAATGATCTTGGGTTGAATGGAAATGAAGATTAAAGGCACTCAAGGTTATGCTTTAAAACACAATTTTATTTAAGCACTGTGCTTTTATTCTTTTTGTAGCTAACATTTAATTCTACGATGCAGTCACAAATTTTTGTCCTATTTAATTGGATTAGGCAAGTTATACCACATTTCTCTTGATTTCCCTTTTTCGTCTTCTCTACAACTTGCACCACAGTTCCAAGTGAATTACCTTTTAACAATGGTTGGCGTTGCCACGTTTAGCTGGTCTTCTTCAATAAAGAAAAACTTTCCTTCACCTATCAATGTAACACACGGGTGTAGGATAGATTATTAATGTCAGGAAGGGTCGAATTTGTCCGGAAGTAAATTTGTTGAGCATAGCATTAATGGAGATTGGAGCGGGAGAGGCTGCTGTGGGTGGGTCAGAAACGAAGATGAAACCAGCTTTTGGGGCAAAATATAGCTACATGGTTGTTTGCTCTGGGAGGGGTGTTCGTTGAAAATGCTTTAGTGCTGGAGCAGTAGGTCGAAACAAAAGCTTTTTTTGCTTGTCAGGAGCTGAATGGAGCTAAATTTACTTGATCCAATTGCATGAACTTTGTCAAATTTGCACTTTTTCATTTACACAGGCAGCCATATTTTTGATGCATTATATTGGAGAGGTTCGTTCTATACGCAGATCTTTACAAATAAGGACTAACCCTTTCTGTAGTCCTTTGTGTAAATGGACCCTTTTCTATCTTCTTACCTAAGTTCTTCTTACCGAATCTTCTGTTTTCTTCAAAATCAGTAAGAATGAAATTTCATGCACACATTTTGTCTATCTACGGTAACAAATAAAAAATACTAAGGCAATCTCTTGCTGTGTTTCGTATTAGATAAGCAGAAACTTCCGTCTTTACAATCGTGTTAGAGCGAGCCACTTTCAGCTTGCACTTAATAGCTTGAAAACCGCCGTGGTTGTCATTTTACTAGTCTTGGTGTGCTTATGAGAAGGCATTCTACTACATTACTCACTTTCATAGATTTGGCAAACTTATTTAGGGATATTTTACAAGAACTAGTAATTTACTCATTGCTAAAATGCTGCTTGTTTTTACTATAACAGTGAATTGTAAATTTTTGGATCTTGCGTTGACCATTACTTCCTACTCTCCTTTGTCAAAAGGCACGGTTTTATGGGAAACAGAAGTTAGTCCTGAGACATTTTAATCAACGCAACTCTTTCTACTTTTTTTGGCCTACGTTCTCTGCGCAAGTGTTTCTCTTCTTCATTATTTCTTGCCTCAAGTTAGTCCATTCTTTCATTCGAAATCATTTCTTGCTTGGTCTTTAACTATAAGGGGTTGCTTAAAAAAAGGTTGTGATCGCCTAGACTTGCACTAAGTTTTCCGAAGAACTTAGAGAGTGAATGTTTGGGAAAAGTACTTAGATTTTATCATCCCAAAGCATGTTGTGAGACAAAACGTGGCAACCAAAAATTTGTTCGTAACAATTCATTTGCCAGTTTGCACCCTTTCTTGCCACGTCTAAAATATGGGAATGTTCATGTAAACCAGTAGCTAGTTGGTAAACCACAATAGTTTTCCAAAAGCTAAATATAGATATTTTTCTGTAAAGTGTTTTTTCGTGAATTTAGGCACGGTCGTTCTTCCCCCTTGTTCTGCAGGAAAAGCGATTAACAGCTAAAGTAGCACTAGTAATAAAATAGCTGAATAGTGTCACAAAGCTGTTAAATATGTGAACATGCGATACCTCCTTTACTTCTCTACTATCTGGATAGTACTCATGTAGCTACTGCTGAGCAGCTCTAAAGTGAGAACAACGTAGAAGGGAGGAAAAGAAGCGAAATCCTACTTCGACAAAACGACGTTCAATCCCGTCCTTTTTGCATGACTCCACTTCTAGTCTGATGTTTTTACGACTAGCAATGGATGCGCGTGAGGGCCGGCACATTCGCCTGAAGTGTCCCGTTTCCATACAGAACGAAACACTATATCCACTGGAATCGTCAAGAGGAATCAGTGACTGTACGGTCAGATATCTAATCATTCGTATGGAAATTCACTTACTGATACGGTTGGCTCGTGGGTGTAATTCTTGCAGTACTGGTCACGTTGTGATGGCCGACGCATGGGAGAAGATGCCGGAATGAGGATAGGAGCTGCGTTATACTTTGTTTATTTGTTGAAGAAGCACTTGGGTGCTCCACCGTTGTAACTTTGTTGAATGGGTCGGTATCTATGCCACGCTAGAAGCCTCAAACCCCACTGTACCTCGACAATACATTCTGCTCATCCATATGTCTTTCTTCGTTTTCAAGAATGTCTTAGTTCAGTGCATGCAAATATAAAGGCAGTTTTACAAAAATATAAAATAGTCTAAAATTTGCCTTTGAAATATTTGATTTTTCAAAATAATTCATTAGTAGTTAAGCGCATCACTTAAAACAGTACTTAAAAAATTTTCAAAGAATTTAATTGCCAAAAAAAGGTTAAGAAGTTTTTGGAAAAGTTGAACACGCAACGATGTGGCTCCGTTAAAACCAAAGATTAAGCGAATAACCTATTCATTACATCCATACAGGTTGTGTCATATTCCTCTAGCCATTCTTCTAAGCAGTTTTCATGAAACCACAGAAATGTACCAAGAACAGAAGTGGACCTTAAACTACAATAAGAAGTTAATTATCGAATCCACAATCTACCTATCTGTGGGATCCGACTCAACACAATCTCATAATGCTCTGTAAACATTACAAAAAAATGCTTACCATTGTGAAGAACCCTGAAAGGGCTGTTTCTGCAAAGTCGATGGGAAATACATGGCACACAAACTCATTGCAAAATATTAGAATATATGGGAAAGGTAGCACATTTTAAAGTTTCAGGTTTTTACGTCACCACTAAGTCAAACATGTTTCCCTATTTCATTTTGGCCTAATTGCAGTCTTTTGCATTAATCTCCTTTGAACTATAAATCACTGCATAGAGAAGTTTTTTGCATTTTGTCAAGATGTATCCGTTAGAGTCCAATTGAAATAAATTTACATTGTTGTGAATAAGTGGCGCTTTTCCGTTTTGCAATCCTGTTTCCCTTTGGGATGGTTTTTAGCGTGCGGTAGCCGGTTTCACCACTATTTCTGTGCAAAAGAAATACTTCTACTTCAAAGACAATTAATGACAGTTATAGACTCTAAAAGAAGTTAAATTTATGCTTGGCAATGTAAGAACTTATCCCTCTTACCCTATAACTTATACGTAGGAGGAGCACTACTTTAGGTGGACATAAAGAGAAGGGAGAAGGGAGGCGGCGTCTCGTCTTATCAATCATATACTGATAATCCTTAACTAGACCGCTTCCTCCTGTTTTGGGACAAATAATCCCAATATCTCATTGAAAGCAGAAAAAACAGATTGTTACGATTACTTTTTATACAGTCTTCTAGCAATTAATTAAAAGTTGCTCCCAAAATCCTTTTTTATCTATAAAAAATGTCTACATTTGTGTGGATTTTATAAGGAGATAAACTTTAGCGAACAAGGAGACTTTAACACTAATTTCATTTTTATTTCTTAAAGCCTAAATCTACCTAATTTCTCCGTATTTCTCTTAATGCAAAATTAACCACTATATAAACTACCTTGGTTTCCATCTCATCATTGCTCTCCCTCGCATTTGATGAAGTGAGGCAGCATTTCCCTTTCATTCTGCATCACAAGCTTTTGAAATTGAGGTGACTTTTTAGTAAATTGGCTCTGCATTGTTCGCAGCTGGCTTGTTCTCTGTTTTCAAACAATTACAAAGTATGGATTGTAATTACAAATCCAAATCCAAGGGTTAATGAAACAGCTTTCCTCTCCTAAGTGTGGCCTCCGTAGCTCACCTCAATTAACATTCTGAGTCAGCCGCCACAAAGTAATTGGTGCTCTAAGAAAACGTTAAAAGTCAATCATGCCAGTCATTGAATGTCCATGTAACTGAGGAGACATTAAGTGCCTCTCTTCGTAGCTTTACTCGATATCTAATTGCTTCTTGCACAAAAACTCAATTGGGGAAGTGAAATTGTGATGATGTCCTTAGTCGTAGGAACACTGAATTCCATTCCTCCTTGCCACGTTATTTATTAGGAGCTGCTCAGTTATATTTTTTTGGATTTTAGCCAGGTAGTGAAAGGGTGGAGGAGGCATCGTGTTTACGAATATTTAACTAAATTCATACAGATACGGTGGGCAACTCCCTAAGCAGCTTCTGCTGATGGTTCATGGTTAGTGTCGCTTTAGATATTAATCTATTTCCTAGAGACAACGGGACAAAGGTAGTTGTCGAAGGCAGTTACCAAAATGAGCCCTTCTAGTAGGTTTCGTCACTACTTCTCTCATCCGCAGCACGTGCACTTCTGCTTGCTATGGTTTACCAACGGATAGGTTTCGCTTTCCACTGCCACTAATGTAGTGCGCCAGGATTTTTCAGAAGAAGAAGGAAGACATTATAAATGGGCATAATACATAAATTTAAACTACGCTGGCCAATTCGACAAAATTACAAAGTTTAGCACGTAGCAGACCCACTACATTTACACTTGTGGCGCATTACCTATTCATTTCTTCGAGCATTTGCTTTGATTTTGCAAGACTCCAAGCAGAAGTTGGAATTCTAGTTTAAAATCTAGCTTAGTTCGAAATCCAACCCTGTGCAATTTCACAATACCTAACTTTAGTGAAGAGGTATTATTGCCTTTTCAAAGGAGTGCTTACCACTGTAGGGCACTCTGAAAGAACTACTGCTGTGAGATAGAGTAGAAATACATAGCAAACTGACTCATTACCTATTATTACAAGGTAATTGCCGAAGCATTCATTTCGTAGAACAACCTGCAAAAAGTTAAAACAACCAAATATTAGAAGTGTAGTAGTTTGTTGTAAGAATTCGCTATTTTAGGTCAACGGCCCACACAAATCATTACTTTACCCTCATATGTTACTAGGGAATCATGTTAATTTTAAAAAAGACTTTAGTTTTATTCTAGCTTTTGAAATTATCATCTTAGAGATATGAATAATTGCGCAGGGGAAAGGTTATGCACCCTGCTGTAAGATAATAGGATTTTTTTGAAAATTTTCTTTAACTACCACGTAGTTAGGATAAAACAAAACCAAAGTGAATACTTACTTAAGCAGAGAAGTATTTAAACAAGTGATGCGGATGATGCAAACGCGTGATATAGAAGGAAACCATTTCTAAAGGTGTATTTAGTCCAGGCTAAATCGCAAAGTCCCACTCAGACGGGAAAAAAGCGAAATGCAAACAGACACAACCAGTTGCCGAATAGCAAAACACGGAAGTGCACAAACAGGGTACAGGAGGAAAATGACTAAATTAACATGAATCAGTCACAGCCAAGTTGACAAGCAAGGTTTTCATTTGTTGCATGAGTACCTCAAAAAACATGGGTAAAAATGTTGCTGGATCAAAAATGTGCGTAGGCGGATCACCTTATGCAGTTAAAATCGCCATTTACCAGTGATTTCTCAATCACTGTTCGTTTTCTTGCAACAGGAAACAAAAAGTTAGTAAGGCCCACTTTCTAACAGTTGCCTTTTCAAGCCGATCGAACATGACGGTGGTTACTGCGGAGAAAGAGAATTGTCCACTCGAAACGATCAGCCTATACGTGCCTTCACTATGGTTAGAATATGTGTATATCTGCGTGCACATAATCTGAGGTGAATTTGTCATCATAGTTCTCTTTGGCGTGGAGTTGCTTTTTTCTTGTGGTGAATTAAGGTAAGCATCTCCAAGTCTCAAGAGGCATGATTCCTTATATGCTGAAATGTGAAAGAGCAGTGGGAGGCAATTTAGAATTGGAATGGATTTAGCTCTGAGTAAGCAATTCTTCGAAAAGCAGCTTCTCATTTGAATATTTGAACAAACAACTCATGATTCGTAAACATATTATTTTCCATATATGTGACCTATTTAAGCCGGCTCGATGGGGATATACTGCTTTAATGTGAGTAGTATGCACTACTATTTATCGAAATTTACAAATATTTGGTTGAGAAAAGTGTTCGAATTCAAATTCTGAGAGATGTGAAGTTATTAAACTTTGAAAAATCAAAATCAAACCATTGGAAAGCACACATTATAAGTGGGTTTGGTTAAAGCTTGGTAGTTGTCACTAGCACTGGTATTGAGTTGAAATGGCTGTACCTATCATACCACAGTAATCTTCTGAGATCATGCAACAGTTTCCTTTGTAAAGAAATAAATTTAATGACATTAATCAGCTTATCCAAAACGTCTTAGTCTTTATTCATATCAAGCTCTATGTACATGATCTCTTTCTCATAATTTGATGTAAAATACTGCTTTTTTAGCAGTATGGTCCACTCCGAGCGAAAATTTACAAAAATCCCTTTGAGACAAATGCTCCAGTTTCATTCTACTAACTTCAAATGGGTGACCGGTATTGTCTTTTCCATTAAATTAAGATGAACTTAATTGAAACAATGCTATATATAAAGGCTGATCAAGCCTTTACAATTATTGTATCTAGTGGTTTTGAGCATGCGATCGTCAAAACGCAGTCTTCTAGCGTTTTCTCTTTTGAGATTAGTAAAAACAACATAATCTCAGCAGAGGAGTTCGAAAAACAAGGCAACATGATAAGAAGAACCATGAAAGCCAACAGTTCTTCATGAACCCATGCACTTGAAGTTTTGCCTCTTCCATCATTGCTCGGTCCCATTGCTACATGGTCCTGCCCATGTCACTCCAGCCCACCTCTTAGTTAGTGGTTGACCTTTCTCCGTATTAATATGGCTCACTACGACTGCAAGGCCGACTCGGTGACCTTAACTTGTGGTAGAAGCGCTCAAGCCTAGTCCAAATCAAGAACGATCCTGCTTTCTTCGACAGGCTGCCGCACCTAAACGTCAAAGAGGAATTATCCCTTATGTGCAACTGAACCCTAAAGGACTCACTCCCGAAGGAGTGTTTAAACATCATCAGCGTTCAACAAACCCAAACTTCAAGTTCAGCAAAACCGCTATCGAAGAGAGCCCAGCTTTCTACCTGTTTGGCTACGACCCTAAGAAATTGTTTCATGGCCCTAAACTCAACCATTTCACTGCATTTCGAGAACATAAGTCCTCCTCTCTAACAGTCTGGAAGGGCGATAGTGCTTGGAAGCCCACATAAGGTTCTAAAAGTCGGTAATCTATAGTGAAAATCTCTTTTTAACGAAATTCTACTTCTTTAACGACAAAAAATGTTACAATATATCACCTTAATAGATGGATATCAAAAAATTAGTCTTTTTTTCTTTCTTTGGAAACTATTCCCATATAAATGAGTTCTGCTAGCAATTCCCGTGTCCATTCGTTTTCCCTTAATTTACAAATCTTTCGCAATTAAAAATGATTCATCTAATCCAAAAAGTTATTTGCGCAAATTGTGCACGGTTTGGACTTTTGAAATGCTACTCCGGGCATGCTAGGTTTAATACGAGTCCGAATATGTGCTAAAGTAATTAAAGATGAGGAGCAATTGACAAAGTGATTGCTGCGCAAAACTTGATCTGTGTTTTATTATCACAGTTTTTGTCTGGCATTCTTCATTTTGAAGTTCATTTAAGAAAAAAATGACAATGCTGCGCTGCATAACATTAGGTTTTGCAAAATAACAAAAATTGCTGAACATCAAGCTAGGTCTGCCTCTCAAAAGTGAAACGAAAAATTTCATTTACTTTTGCATAAAAAATGAGACAAACGGGCTTGATCCACCAAAGTAATTGACATCACAACCTACAATCTATCATCATTTCCAAACAAATACAGTCCTGCAAATTGATGTGCTACACAACGTCTAATTAATTTAAATTTTTTCTCTGAAATCTCTGCTCGTCTTATTTACATTTTGTCAACTAACTGGCCTCTTCACAAAATGTTTTTTAGTCTGAGATATAATCGCAAAGGTCATGGGATACCAGTATTTTACGAAATCAAAATTAAGCCAGTAGAGGGCACACATCAAAAGTAGGTTCGGTTGAAGCCTAGTAGTCCTGATTACCCCTTCGGTTGCCATTAGTACTAGCAGTGAGCCGAAATCGCTCCACTTGTCAACCTTAGATGCCATCGTATTGTAGTCCTGCGCATGGCAACTCATTCAGTCTGTACCCCAATAATAAACTTTATTCCTTTCCAGTACGACCTATAACGACTTCAAGAGTGACTTGGTGACCTACATATATAGTGAGAGCAACAAAACCTGATCCGAATTGCGTACACTGCTGCTTTTTTTTCGCTGGTCGACACAGCTAAACCTCGTAGGAGAGCTGTCGTCTGTGAATGGCTGAACCTTGGAGGATTTACCCCCCAGGAAGGTGTGTTGAAACAGCGTCGACATTTAATTAATCCAATAGTCAAGTTCTGCGAAAGTGTCAGTGCTTGTAAAAGACCTATTCGAAATTGACTTCTAGAAAATGTTATGTGTCTCCTAACACAACTATTGTATTTTATCATGCACATAAAAGGCCGCTTCCCTAAATGTCTAGCTGAAGTGATGGTGCTTCGACACATATTAGCTTAGGAAAGTAGGTTAACTGCAGTGAAAACCGAGTTGAAATTAAGTTCATGGGCCCAATGACAAATATCTGCAGTTCTTTCCATGCAATTACAAACAAGTTGTGCATTTCGCTGCTACACAATGTCTCGCTACCTAAAGCTAGGAATAATCGAAGTCTTGTTTCAACCACCTCCATTCCTATTACATGTTTTCATTCTTACTCTCTTCTGACATAGCATATAATCATATGGTGAATTCCTTATGAAGATGAAAGTCATTTCTTCAAGGGAAAGTTTGAGATATAAACCAACATGATAGATTAATATGTTATTTGACTCTCGGCTTTGGCAAGGGGACACCTGGAGGCTCCACTATTGTAAATTCGAACAATGTTAAAGCAAGTGAGTAGAGCTAAAGCCCCCAACACCGAAGTCTTTATCACCAAGTTATCTCAACAAATAAGGACGATGTACCAAATCCCACCGCATTGTAAAACTGGCAACCAACATGGATTTCATGGCTCATCAAAATTGCTTTTTACAGCAATGCATCGCCTGTATCAAAACCATCGACTAATTGTCAAATAAATGAGCCATAACAAGTAAAATGTGGGAAAGTTCATTTCAATTAAAGGGCAACTAAGTCAGCAGAAGGCCAACTAGCAGTTAATGGGGTCTGTCTCTTCTATTTACAAAGCCGGATCTCCCCCCAGGTTCGTGTGAGAAAGGCTACCAAATAGGGTGAAGCTGACTGTGAAGCGTACGCACACTGTACCCATTGCGAATGGCATTCTGTCAAATGGTTTTATGAGCTGAAAACGTGTCGGAAGCACGGAGTCTTTTTCGTTGGGTGCAGTGATAAAATGTTCCCTAGAAGGGCCTTCTGCCAGTACAATGGAATTTCGAAAACCCGGTGTGACGAAAGCAAAGCACTCAGAAGGCCTGATTCGTTAATGTCACGACAGCGAAAGATAAAATCAAGATCTATAATCTATTTTACCAAGAGAGGTTGCAAGAAAGCTGCATAAGCAAGTATTGCATCTATGTCCTGAATAATAACAATAACCGAGCCAGAAGCTCCTTCATAGAGGACAAAACCATAACAAATTTTAGCATATCTGTTTGGATTGTAAAAGATTCTCTTTGATTTATTCTAGGTAACCTTGATCTTCTCACCTCAGCCCATTGTCATATGATTGGTTATATCACACGGTGTTGATATAGCGCGAAATAATTGAACTGATTTACGATATTCTTGGCATAAAAAAAATCTTACCAATTTGTTTGTTGATCGGCTGTTGACTGAGTGAAAAATGGCTGAGCAACAATTGTCACGTTCTCTACGTGATCCCTTGCAAATGAACGTACTTAACATTGCAGAATGATATGAATGTGACAGCAACGGCAAAACTGTTTGATGGTGATTTTGAAGATTTAGCAATCTGATTTGGGTACTTTGATTGTTTTTCCAACACTGCGTTTAAGTTATGCAGACACTTGTAGCTCCGCGACTCCGCCTCGGCTGCCAGTTGTCCTCAACCCTTTACTATGTCGGTGGTGCGATTTCCACCCTAGTATTTGGAAATCTTTTGGCTTTACGTAGAACGCGGGGGCTGCAATATTTTTTCCTGCAAAAAAGTTTTCTTTCTATTGGTTATAAAATAATTACGACACGGAACTGACTCACTAATTTCGAATGTATATAGTCGGCCCGAGTGCTATGTCGTCCTTCATCTTCAGGGAAGTCCAGCAGCGCTACAAATATACCACTGAAAAAATGTCTAAACTTTTGCTTTAAATGGTTGCAATTTAATCAACCGGAAATTACTCCTTCTATTGGCTTTGAGATGCAATTATTAAGACTGGGATACCTATATATCATTGTTGACATTAATGCAGATACAAACTTCGGTATTCGTTCCTTAATTTGCCACCTCCTACTTCAAAGAAGAGTTTCATAACAGGTCAGCGGACGAACACAAGTAACAACCAATCTGCATTCTAATAGAAAATGCGATTATTCTAGATTGAAGTTGCTATACTTTGCTGGCTTAAGTGTGAGCTTTTCTGCTGAAAAGTAAACTAGGCTGAAGCAACAGCCTAAAGCAGTATTTTTTTTTTCAAATAAGAAGAATTGTATATGGTAAGGTATATATGATGAAAAGTAGCTCATATTTTGTTAGGCAAAGGATGGCACTCGAGTATTTCCTGAAGCGGTGAGAAGTCTTAGTAATAAGGTGGAAGATACGTGACTGCCGTGCAGCATAGCTGAGGCTACTCTCATGGTGCAAAGACCATGCACATGAAGAGAAGTACAATGTGCAGGAACTTAGGTGCCCTCGTAGTGGATCGCAGAGTTATCGGACTGTCAAAGCATTATAAAAATGCACCAGTTGTTAGGTTGACTATCCTAACTCAAGCAAGAACTTTTGGGCAATGCCCATTTTACCTGCTAATCAGACCTAAATGGTTTTATCAAAAGGGAGAAAGTACGGCTTCTCCATTAGGGAAAGAGTATGAATAAAAGCGGGTTCACTGCCAGTTACTATCGGCTCTTTTGTACCTCTACAATGCACTTTCTGCCCTAGTATTACGACTTCCTTCGACTGCAGGGCGAACTCGCAGTGCCACAATATCTTCCCACATATAGCATTTAAATATAATTGGTTTTAAAAAAGTATCACTGTGAAAATTCACAGTTTACGAGTGCTCACAAGCTAAAGAAAATGACTGCATTCATATCAAGAGTGGTTGAATAAACCTTGACTTTTCAGAATAAATTAATTGCATTACTTTGGTTGTTTATTAAACTTGTGGACTTTGTGGTGAGGCCACTCGAGTGCTCCACCATCGCAACTTCGTCAGGTGGGTCAGTTTTCGTGCCACCTCAGCAGCCCCAATCGCTGCAGTATGTTAAATATATACTTTACCTGAATATTATATCCTCTTTCATCTTCAGGGGAGGCTCGAGCACTGCATAAATATATGAGGAGAACCGTACTAAAAACCAAGACATTCCTATCATTTTTTCATATAAAATTAATGTGAAAATGAAGGACAACGAGTTTCAGATTACTGCTTAAAAATTACCAGAAGAATTGAATTGCTAATCTGGAAAAAAGTGCCATGGCTTAAAAACACTGAGGAATAAATTTGGCAAACGAAATGATGCGGTGTGGTCAATTGACCAATGAATAAGGAATAAACCGAGTGCAATCACAATATATCCATCATGAATGGCCAATGAAAAGATAAGTACACTCTTTGCGTTTTTGAAGTAGACAGCAAATACTATTAACGCATTTTGAGCCCATCCCAATCGCTAAATCATAACAGTGTATGTCCTCAACTCTATGTGGTCTTGGTTAAAATTAGAGCGGATCTCATGCTTTGACTGTGAGAAAGCATATTCGTTTGATACTCTGCCGAAATGCTTCGCGATTGCAGGGATTCAACTTTACTAAGCTTGAACGAGTGCTACAGAAACTGATATTACTAAGAGAAGTGAAGTACTGAAAGCGTTTTAGAAAGTACTCATCTATAACCGCTAAGGAACACAAAATTAATAAATCTACTCTGTTATTTTTATCATAAAAGACGTAAAGAGATTAAGAAGCACAGTTTTTATTTGACTATTGTAGAAATCAAAATACTGACTAATTCCTCCTCTTTAGGTCAGCAGTCTTGTTGTGAGTAGAATGGTAAAAAAAGCGGGAAGAAAGACGATTCCCGAGCTACTGGGTAGCTGATTGGTCAAGTCTCTTTTCTTTGCTCCACTACTTTTCCTCACCGCTGTAGCAGACTAACGGGCAAATTATAGCAGTTTAACACATGCGTTGGAGACTTAAAACCGCAGTTGAGATCATCAAAGTGTCTCCTAATGTATCGTTGAGGCCAAATATTAGGCGCCTAACTTGAACTGGAAGAATAAATGGCAAAGGCGCCTAGTATTCATACTCAAGTCAGTTTAAATACTGATCTGTTTGACAGTTTCTCAAATGTATACAAGGATTTTTCTCATGTTATACAGCCAGTTGCATATGGCATATGGCTGTTCATAAATAAGCATACTGAAGCATAAGTGTGCGATAGTCCAACGCAAGTACTTCTGATCCTGCTCTGCCTTTTAAGTATCCGTTAGACCCAAAACCGAGGATTTGGAAATATTCGCTACACAAAATGAATCTGCCATGATTCCAAAAGTGCGAAAGCCAGCCTCCTGTCATGCTTTTCGCACACGCTTTGAAGAAGACGCTGCATGCTTTGCCAAATGCTACCAAGCAGAAATAGTTCAAACAAAATACGAATCTGGTGCTGACTCCCACAAAGCAGGAAGAATCGTGACCAGTGCCATTCCTTATGCCTAATGGTCGAGAGGAACTACGAATCGCTACTGACATGTTGATTGAGAATTATCGAGTCACAAAGTTCGGTTGTCAAAGACGCGAGTGATGGCAAGGAATTCGTACTTGCAACAAATGGAAGGGGAGGTAGTGGGAGCTAATAAGCAAATGGAGCCCCACCCACGTGTGTTATTAGACCACGATAAGCCTGTAAAATATGAACCAACTCCCCATTCCTTTTAGTGAGCTATGAAAACGCATCCATCTTGGAAAAAAGGTGGAAAGTTATTAATGCGAGGATTTGCACTTAAGTCAGGGCGGGGAGGAGGGTAGGCGGAAAACACTGCCTCACCCCATCCCCTATATTTCGCCAACGGCGCTGCTTTACGTGATTAGCCCAGTTTTTTTAGCCTGATAACAGTTGACAGAGTAGGGACAGATAAGAAATAAAAGTGACACAGAAACAAGGACAGCAGTGTTTAGGTGTGATTTTGGTTGGGATTCTGAAGACCAACAGTTGCATAAAAGAACACTTCGCGCATAGCTTGTGCTCTGTTGGCGAAGAATTGCAGAGTAGACTGTCATAACAAATATTTTAATAAGTTAATTCTGAATCAATGAATTTTTTCACAAATAATTTGCTCTTATCTTATTGTAAATGAGCAACTTTACAATTGTATAAGCAGATGTTGCTCTAATCTTATTTCTTTAAGCGAAGTTGTGAAATTACGGATACCAAATTGATAGCAACAAAGGGCTTAACCTCCTTACATGTTAAATCTGCCGGCTGAACTCATTTTGTTTATTTATTTTAATTAGTTGTTTATTTACCTTGAGAGCAACTTTCTGTAAATCTACAGACGGCTGTACGATCAAGAGTTACAGTAACTACTGTAAATTAGTCTAATTTTCGTAGCATGTTTGGAATGCACAACTGATAAGAATTTAGTAATCGAAGTTTTCGATTGTCCACAGGAATGCATCCTGGGCTCACCAACATACGCCCGGACCTATTTGCATGCATCTTTGGCAAAGTTTAGGCTTTGAAGTAAAGATTCCACTCCCTGAAGCAATTAATAAAAGCAAACCTACACAGAAGCTTTCGAGTATTCAAGTTGAAGAACATAGGTGATGGAGCGGACTTCTTCCAGTGCGAAAGAAGTATCCTGACTTTCCATAATTTTGCCATCAAAAGTATGTTTCAGTTCACCACAACCACACCCTGGAACAGTATGTATAGGTCCCTTCGGGAGGCTGCAAAAAGTGCAGTAGAGAGTACCGCTACGATAGAAAGAAGCAATTCCATGCCGTATGGTGTATGAAGGTGAACAACAGCTGCTTTTATTCTGTAGGTCTACACAGGTTATAAGCAGTCATTGTTATGGGGCAAGTTGAATGTCGCCAAAAATTTAAGGCCATCTCGTAGATCACTAAGCTTGATTTCTAAATTGAAATGAGAACGAGGATTAATTGGCATTCTCTGAAAAGACACAAATTGGGGCAGTTTCATTTATAAATGACCACAATTGCACTATTTTGAGATGGATGACAAACGATGGCATCCCGCTAATGAGTACTCAACTCTGACATTCATCAGTTATTAATTCGAAGTCAGGTCGCGTTCATGTTTACTAGATGTATCAGACGATGCTGAATTTGCATTGAAAGGGAACCAACAGCATTCAATTTCACAACAGGAATAACTAATTACGTGAACCTTCCCGAGAGATCTAACTTTCCTTAAAATAACCCACGACTAAGGATAGAAAGATGGAGAAGATAACGAATGTGCCTAAACACACTAACAATACTTTGAGAAAAATATTTCCGTCCAACTTTAGAGGAATAACCGTGGTTTACTCTCAGATTTTAGAACGTTGTGCACGTGTCCACATTTGGTAAGCGTCAAGAATGTGTCCAAATTAGCAGAAGAAACCACATGAATGAGTTCTTTGGTGGCCAGATTCGTCTCACAATATGCTTTGAGGTTGGGGTATTCAAATTCTTCCCCTAAATTTTCAATATTTACTCCCAAAGTTCTTGCAAATCACAGTTCGTGATTTTTCGAACAACTTAGCGCAGGGCCTGGCGATCACATCATTTATTGAGGCGAGTGGATAGTTTACAACAGCCCTGTCACAGCAAATGCTGTCAATGTGATTAATGAAGGAACAGTGCCCGAATAAGTTGGTTGTCAAACGATTCTTACCTTGGATGCCTTCTATTTTCACCATCATCCAATCCTGCACCACTGTATTCCACAGAAAGGTGGTGGTACACGTGATAAACACGGCAAGAATCACAAGAGTGCCAGAAAAATGAATTAGTATAAAAATAGGATAATTCGAAGGTCAAGCAAAAGAAGGCGAACAGGGCAATTTAACGGTCACCTCCCGATGTATTTGAGGATTACGATCTAGTCGGGGCCAAATGCCATGGGAAGTAAGAATTTTATGATTGGTGCCATTAAAGCCTTTAGTGATTACACCAAGGTTCGTTAAGTACTCACCTCTCGATAAACATATTTTGGTGGGGACATTCTTTATTTTTGAAAGTTGTAACTCTGTCAGTTTATTATAGCAAACCTGCCTAATTCTCACACAGCAAGATAGCCTTTTTGTTCGAGCCTACAACATCCCTGTCACTTTTCGGGTGGAATTAAAATATAGTTTTTCGGTATCAATTGTTTAAATAGTAATACTAACTAGTCTGCTAAACCAAATACTGGGGAGGCGGTTATCCAGGAGGCTCACGCATCTGGTAAGACTGTAAGAGCAATTGCAGATGGAAGAAACTAAGTCCAAAGTGAAATGCTTTTAGGTCAAGAGGTAAGAAGAAATAAAACGAATGAGAGTTGGATCGAAAACTACTGAAAGGTGGCTTCATTTTGCGTTGAAAATGCGCATATAGAGCACATTTGACAATGGGCCAGAAACCAGGAGTAAAACGAATGATTCGTAGTGCTCACAAGGCAAACATAAGGAATCCCATTGTGAAAACGGTAAATTTTTCAAGCTGTTAAGAAGGTGGGGCAAAACAAAATCACTAAAAATTTGCCTGAGTCAAGTGCGGAAACGTATAATGCTATAATCTAAGTGCAGCGGGAGTTAAGTATCCACATGAATGATGCGGATTCAAAGGTCAAAGACACAATTGGATGGAGTGCGTAATTTGTTGAAAAACCAGTTTTGAAAGTGCTTTTTAACAAAAGTTGGTAGCAAAGCCTAACTGAGAGGAGGATAAGTACTTATTGGTCATATAAACAGGCAGAACCGGTCGTTAATCAACAAAAGAGGAGGCAAAGTGGCACGATGGGAAACCGACTAAGTTAGTCAGAAATAATAATTAACACATTAATTAGCGGGCTTTTTGCTTATCGCATGAATATCGCAGAAAAGAATGTTCCGTAAATTTGATGCTAGAATGGAACATGCGTAGGAGGATAATCCTTATGAGGCCAAATTCATCATTTGAGGCCTTTGCTTCCAAATTTAGTCAACTTTTACTTTGAATGACAAATCCGTACTTAAAAAAATAACCCAAAATTCATGGAAGGGAAGAGCTATTAAAAAACTGGACGAATGTCGGTCAACTTGGCATGTTCTCTATTGAAGTCTCGGAGTGATAAAGAACCACCACAACCGAGATGTTCATTTGTTCTAACACAATACAGCCTGTCAGTAAATTTTCCGATTAATTCAAAATTTTGTTCGCAAAGTGTGTTCCTATCCTTGAACATAGAATGTTCTACTCCCATCTTACTCTTTTAAACTCAACCCACCTACCCCTGACACATTTATGACCATGAGCACATAAATACGGGGCAATCGTAGAAGTGACGCTGGTGGCAAGCATGCTGAGGGTGCAAAGAATGATATGGAAGGCGTTTAAAAAGCCTTCCACAATCAAACTCTGATCCAATATCTCGCATTCAAGAGCAGTTAGGTACATAAGTCTGCATAATAAGCTCGTTTGTACTTGTACACAAAACAAAGAACAAATTACCGCATGAGGTCTCGTCAAATATTTAATACATTCGTTGAAAAATAACCACCAATGTCCAAATGAGTTACATATTTTACCTAAGAACCGAGTTCATGCACCGTTTTTGATCGAAAGGGTATGACAAACCCGTCCTCTAAACATACCCCTTTCTTCCAACTCACTTTCACTTCCAAACCACCTTTCATATTTCGCAAGTGATTGTGTGATGTCAAGATAAGGTGAAAATCATCACCTGAAGGTATGTAGGGGGTGAGATGAGGAAAGGTATTATTTTCCTCCCTCACCTACTATTCCATCCTGGAGAAAATCCGCCAGCCCTGCTTCAAGAAATCTAAATGTATCCTGCACACCTATTTAATGTACATGAAAGGGATAAAAAACATCAAACGATGAACTGTTAACCCATGTGAATGCGCATGACCACTTTCCTTTCCTATCCATGAAAATAGTAAATAATTGTTCCATCAAAAGCGCTAACAGTTACTAAATATTCTTGAAATTCTAACCTCGAGTTATGCGTTACCTTCCAACACGGCATTATACACCTGCTCCAAAAACTGCAAATTTGGCTTGAGGCTGAAACCACAGATTTAAAGTAGACCTAACGTCAATTTCTGTGCCAGAACAGCAGGCTGTTGAAACCTACTTGTTGTTATACAAAGCATACCCACCTTGATCGCGTTTCAAGATGGTAATAAATGTGTTGAATCACATCCATTAGATTTAAATGACATTTCACTATGCTAAGATTCGAAGTGGGAGTAAAGTATTAGCGAGAGTGATAATAATCTCCATACTGTGCCCTGAAATAAACGCATCTGGAAAACCATAGAAACAAATGCAGAAGCAAACAATAAGTCATAGCAACCAGTTACATCGGAAGCGGCAGAGAAACTTTGAGCATCCAGCACACCAAGGTATTGGAAGTATGTTTGGAAGGAGGTATTTGCATAAGATTGTGAATGAAAGTGAGGCCTGGAGAGGATTGAACAGGCAAATATTGTAAACGAAACAACTTTGGTAGTGATGTCAGAGAGGTGCAAAAAGATATCTTTTTAAGAAAATATTAATGCAAAATACTTCCTCATCAAAATCTAGTAAAACTATTTCTAATACTAAATATGACTTGCAACATAAACTATGAATAAGTGAATACATATTGCTAAATAGAATGCTTCACAGAATATGATGACGTGATCCGTAACCAAACTGGTATATGAACATACCTATATAAAACATAAGCACCCGAATTCAATTTTTGCTCAATGCATCTTGACGGAAACGTTGCTTGGCTGCTTCAAACCCGTTCTACTAATTCGCAAATGCATTGTAATGGAACACCAATGAAGAAAATCCACTCGCATTTGTATAACCCAACTGAATAGGAAAATGTAGTGTTTCGCGGATTTAAGTACCATCCCAAGAAAGCTACGTCAATCCTCATATGCATGCACGACACAAAGTCTAACAATTAAGGAGGCCAGTGCATTCGTCTGGGAAAAAGATTCCCTATACACTATCTGTTTCCACTTCGATAGATTCCTTGCACGTGGAATTTACAATTTACAATGCCAAGTAAACAAAGTGCATGATTTGACACAAATGTTCCATCGAATTCATCTTATGAGGTGCTAGGTCGTGGGATTATTTCTTTTGCATACAATATGTGCTAACACTGATGAATACTGGCATTAAACCACTGTCTTACAGTTTTGCATTTATTATCAACAGTTGTCACCTGACGCCAGCCAGTTCCACAATGAATGATAAAGGGTGAGTGGGAACAAATGTTTGCTTAGGGAGGACTGAATTCACCTGAATTAAGCACACCTTACTGCCATTGCATTTGACGTTAAATGGGTAACCGGCATTTCATCATCTACCACATTAGAACGCACCAAATTGAATCAACACCATGCAAGAAGACAGAGCAATTCTTTAGAAATGGAAGTATTGAGTGGCGTTGAGCATGAGAGCTTTACGTGTTTGCTTGCTTAGTGTTGGAAAGTGGACCCCTTTAAGGTATAATGAGGACAACGCTCAAACTCCGTAAACGTTCTCTAAATAAAGTGGAGAAAAACCATGAAAACAAACAAGCCTAATTCTCCATTTACCATTGAGAGTGGAATACCGACTCTTCAATACTTGTCGTGGTGCCATCAACTTCTAGTCCTGCCCATATCACACTGGTCAGTCTGTACATTAATTGTTAACTTTATTCCATAATAGTATGACCTGTAATGACATCGAGATTGACTCGATGCCCCACATTTGTGGTAGAAGGGACCAAACCCGATCCAAATTGCATACACTGCTGTTTCCTTTGACCAGTTGACACATCTGAACGTCGCAGGGGAAACCATCTGCTAAGGATGGTTAAGCCTTGGTGGATTCACTCCTAGAGGAGGGTTATAACAGCAGTGACATTGGACTAGACCAAAATTCGTGTTTTGTGAAAGCACCATTGCTGGAGAGAGACCAGTATGGAAATTAACTTTGAGGAATTGTTTGTTACATGCCCCTAAACACAACCATTTTACCTTACCCTGTGGACACGAGACCTCTTCTCTAAATGTCTGGCTGAAGTGATTGCTCTTTGACACCCATATTTGGTTCAAAACATCGGTCAATCATTATGAAGGCTGGTTCTCGCCTAATTTCATTTCGCCAGTGACATCCAATGCCACAATATGTCAGTAGGATAGATGGAGATCCGAGGCTCAGTCTTCCTTCCTTCTTTGTTAACGATGACAGTATGCATACATCCCGTTGGGCTTGAAGTCATGCGATGCGAGTCAGTTCTACTAACAATGCCTGTGTTCCTTCTTTTTCCTTTCATTTACAATTCCTTCGCAGTTCAAAATGATCCATCCTATGGAAAAGTTCTTCAGCAAATTACGCAGGGGGAGGTCACACGAATGCTGCCTCTAGGATAACAGCATAAAAACAAGTCCAAATAAGAGCTTAAAAGCAAAGAAGAAACGCAAGCTGTGCTTATGTTACTACATTTGTGTCCCATTCCCTTCATTTTGAAGTGCACTTGAGGAAAGAATTGCCACGGTTCTGCTGCATGGTATTGAATGTGGACGCAAAATTACGGAAACCGCTGAACGTCAAGTCGGAATTAAGAGCTAGACCTACCTGTGAAAAGCAAAACAATAATCTCGTTTAGTTGTGCATAAAAGATGAGACAACTGTGGAAGACCTCATGAACTAAAATGTAGGACTCTTATGCCAAAGTAATCACCATCACATTCCACAATTTACCACCCTTGTCAAACAAGTAAAAACAAACTGCGAATGTCAGTGCTACACAACATCTCGCCACCAGGATCCAGAAAGTAGGTGAATCCAGTCCCAACTTCCTTCACTCCAAACTCACTTCCACCTATCAACTGTCATCTGGAGTATGGCATAAGCTCGTATGATGAACCGTCTCATGTCGAGATGAAAGTCAGTACTCAGAAAAGTTGGGGTGGGTGGGGAGTAGAAGGAATAGGAAGAAAAATGAGGATGAGGCACTCTTAGCATCCTCACTCCTTCCATCCTGAAATGTGGTCTAGGGTATTCGTGATTTAATCTTTGCGATGCATGGCGTGAGGATTTACGCTGTGCTGCGTTGTCCCCTCTAGAGTTTTGTGCTCTTGTACTGTGTTGCGTTGCAAGAGCAAGGGCAGCAGTAGGAGTAGAAGTGATAGCAGCACCTTATCCTCACTAATTAACATGCCCTTGATGTCTTTTTCGAGCAAGGAGAAGCCTTTACTACTCACTTACCTCTTGTGTCGAGTAGACGGATCTCAACCACAATTACTGTTTGCACTTCTACAAGTGTAGAAGTCACGGTGAGTAGTTGCGTCTGTGATGTGCCACACGCACACTCACACACATCACAGGCGTAGTCTTGATTTGTGGGAAAGCGTGAGTGATCTGTCAACACAATTACCCATTTCTGGATAGTGCTCTCTGTCATAGCATACCACATTGGAATAAGGTGCCACAAGGCTGAATTTCGCTGCTTCGCAACTGAGTGGAATCACAAAGTTATGCTAAGAACAGCGCAATCTGAATTTTTTCCTGCTTCATAATCGCCAACAACTATACTACGTTAATCGCTTGTTCAACTGTCAGTTTTAACAACGGGACACCCGGCAGCTCCGTCATTGTATGGCCGCCGAGCAGATGCGCCTCTGGGATATGCCAGTAGTCCCAATCCCTTCTCCATATCGAATGCATACAATCTGCCCGAGTATTAGGTCTTCTTTCATTTTCAGGCCAGTCTCGGGATGCTGGAAATGCGCACTTTTTACCAACTAATAAGTGAAAGAACTACTTCCTTGGCGATGTGATTAATTTTCGAGAACTTGGGTGCCTGCACAATAATTTATCATTGATGACATGCATGTAATTTTGGCACGAGTTCCTTAATGTTATCATCAAAGGTGAAATGAACGATTAAGGAACCGTTTGAATTCTCAAGGGCAAACTCGGGTATGTTGCTTCATGTTATCAAAGCTTTACTTTAAAACGTTCACTCTGACCTCTAACTGACTTGTAACATTTTTCCTATCAAAACCTCTCCTACTTCAAGGAAAGGCTCCGTAGCAGGCCAATGGACAGATACAATAAACTGTTAATCAACAATCTTATAGGAAGTGCAATTATTCTTCGCTAAATTTGCTACACGTTGGTGGCGCAAGAGTGCGCTGTTCTACTGAAAGGCAAACTGAGTTGAAGAGGGGGCTTAAGGCCATTTTTCAACTAAAAATATTTGCGTATTGGAAGGTATCTGTAAAGAAAAATACCTTCTATTTTAGTGGGAAGAATGCAGCAGCCAAGCCTTCCTTAAGGCAGTAAGAGGCCACAGGAGTGGGGTGGAAGATATATGACTGCCATGTAGAAGAGCTGAGGTTACTGGCATGGCACAAAGACCATGCCACCGAGCAGAAGTACAATGTGTAGGGAATAAAGTGCCGTCTAAGCCTAACGCAGAGTTGAAGGGAATGTCAAAGCATTATGAGGATGTATCAGTTGCAATGTGATCTGACCCCTCATGCACGAATTGCTATGCAATGTCCACTTCACCTGCTAATCAGCCATACATGGTTCAAACAAGGAGGGGAATTTCGTCTTCCTCACTAAGGAATGCGAGTGAACAAGAGTTAATAGTAAATGGCAAATGCTTGGTGACGTACTTATTTTACAGTTGATTTTTCCAATACATCGTCAGTTATGTAGACTAATCTTCACATATTATGTAGTGCTTGGGGAAATTGAGGACGATTTAATTGAAATGCACTTCCACTACCGGTTATTTGTGCAAAGCACTAAAGGGGGTTGTGTGGATAAGTGCCTTCCCCTATTGAAGGGACATTTGGACACGTCGAACACTAGATTCTGGGAGGGAACTTTTCCAGCTCAGCCCAAATACCTCATTCCTCTGATACACCACCAATCTCCATCCATTTCTCACCAACAAACAAAAAAGGATTTTTTCTCCGACTAGGCGCGTCTTGCATTTGTTGTGTTGTTTTAGGGTTATCCAACCTAATTGTGATGGTTTTTTTACAACAGTTACCAAAAACCCATAAATACCACACGTCACACATTTGTGACGTGTGAGCTTAGTTAAGGAAATCAGGTTTACCCTGGTATTAAAAGCCCTAATTTCATTTTATACTCATGACTGGGAATTTAACAATGTAGTAGAAGAGTTTAAACTGCGTTTAGGACACACGCGATGATGCACGAGGATGCCATTTGTTAATGAGTACCACGAGCAACGGGAATTAAATCATTCGCCTGTAATACATTTTAGCAGTGGTTTATCGCTTGATTCTAACACACCGTCTATATTATCAACAGATTGGACCAGAATAGACACAACCTAGAAAGCCTTATTTGCTTTAAGGACACGAAGTGGGAAGGCGGACAACTGGTAGTTAACTGTGTCAGTGTTTACTGTTTGGGAAGTCGGATGACCCTCAAGGTTAAAGAGCTGCCACCCTGTAGAGTGAAGGCGGCTGCGAGGATTACACGCACTCTATCCATGGCAGACGGTATCCTGTCATGTGGTTTTTGCAAGCCGAAGGTGTGTCGGAAGTCCGGATTCATTTCCGTCAAGGGTAGTAATGAATGAGTCTCTGGTAGAGTAGTTTGCTGGTACATTACAATTTTAGAAAAGTTGTGTGACAAATTCAGAGCACTCAGAATGCCTGATTTGTTAAACTTACGCCACCGAGAGATGAAGGCAAGATCTCAAGTTTATTTCTCGACGGAGGTTGCAAGAGAGCTGGGGGTGTAACCATGCATTTGTACAAGTTGTGAATAGCAATGGCATAGTCCACTTAAGCACAGAATGTTTGCTGTTGGAAGCTGCCTCGTAAAGAACAGAACTGTAGCAGTTTTGGAGTCAATGTTTGGCTTTAAAAAAATTGTCGTCGTTTCACCTCATGTCACCACCGATTTCCTCATCTCAGCCCATTGTCACATGTGACACATGACATACACGACAAGTTCGTTGACGACTGGCTACACTGCTATCGCGTAAAGTAGTCAAACAGACTTGCGATCTTCTCGCTTTAAGTCGTATTCCACTTTGGATAAGTGGAAAACTGATTTTGATGCGTTGGTTGCTTGCGTAACGCTGCGGTTAGGTTACGCGGACACTTACGGCTTCACGGCTGTACTTCCGCTGCCAGTTGCGATCACCCTTCTGCAAGCCGGCAATACACTTTCCGCCCTGGTATTACGACTTCTTTTAACTTCAGGGAGGACTCGAGTGGCTACAATATTTTCTCATAAATAACACTAGGGTTTAATCAGTTGTAAAATGATTATGGTATGTAACTGACTCACTAGTGAAACTGCACAGTTTATGGGTTCCCATAAACTGTGGGCATGACTGTGGTTACATTAGGAGTTATTAAATACACCCTGAATTTCCAGAGTAAATAAATTAATTGTAATGTATTGATTGTTTGTTGAAGTCTTGGAATTCGAAATAAGATCATTCGGGTGAACTCTATCCAAGTGGGCTGACTCCTGGGCCATTCTATTGGCCCTAAACTCTACTGTATGTATTGCGGCTTCTCTCGTCGTCAAGGCAGTCTCTACCCCCTACATTCATGGCAGAGGAAAGCCAACACGATTACGAAGGACATTTGTCATGATTTCGATTGCTTCGTGGTAAGCTTTAGGGAGATGAAAAGTGCATATGCTGTGGACAGGAGGAGCGCTGACAACACCTAACAGAAGGGCTGAAAATGATGTCTACCCTTGACAACTACCCCAATCCCGTGATATGCTGGAAAGCTATTTACTCCCGAAGCGACGCTAGCCAGGAAACATCCGAAAAGCTTGTCACGGAGCTGTCTACCATACCTGTATAAAGATATCAATTACTTGATTGGACGACGCCTCCTCCACTTGTTTATTAGCTGGATCGAACATGGATAGATATGGCAGGATGGCTCCAAGGTGAGAACAGCGTAGTAAGGAGGAATAGACGTGAAACCCTTCCCCCACGGAACAGTATTAAATCCGAGCCCTTCTCCTATGACTGCTTTTAGTCCAGTGTTTCCTCGACTACCAATGGACAAGCACGACGACCACTACATTCGCCTCTTCCTGATTCAAGCTTGCTCACAACACAAAACTGCAGATGTGGCGGAACTGTCAAGAGGGAGCAGTGACGATGCGATCAAGCATCTCCTCGCTTGCATGGAGTTCGATGACTGGCACAGTTGGCTCGTGAGTGTTTCCTTACATCACCGATTGTGTTGCGATGGCTGACGAGGGAGGTTGACTAAGAGGAGTGTCACGGAAGATGCTGGAAAGGGGAGAGGGGCTATGCAATACGTTGGTTGTTTGTCGGATGACTTGGATGTTCGACTATCGTACCTTCATCGGGTTGGCTGCAATCCGTGCCACGTCAGTAGCCCTAAACCTTACTGTACCTCAACAATACATATTCTAAACGATCACCTCATTTCTTTTCGTTTACACAGAGGTCTCGGTATAGTGCGCAAATGTAGGCAAAAGTTTGCATGAGTGCAATATATTCGCAAAGTTTACTTCGAAATGCTTGATTTTATGAAGAAAATTTGCCGTCAAAATAAAGGAATGCATCATTCAAGTTAATGCTAGACAAATTATTGAAGCAATTTAATCTGCAAAAGAATAACATTAGAATCCCTTGTGAGAGAGTTAAACGAGCATATATGTGGTTCTACGCCAAAATTGATAATTGAAACAAACCTCCCATGCATTAAACGTACACATGTTGCGTTGCACGCCCTCAAGTCATTCCTTCGAGCAGTTTCCATGAAATTTCCGGCATGAGCCAAAAAATTATTCCTGAAACTACGCGTGGGAGATGTGTACCTAATCCAGAATTTGACTTAATTTTGAAACCCACTCTGGGCAATCTCGTAATGCCTGCTTTTAGTGAAGACGCGTTATGACCATTTCAAACCAACGCCCACCCATATTCAGACTCCCAAAAGGGCTACTTCTGCACAGTTGAGAAGCAATGCATAGCCAATCACCTCATGACTCAATGTCCGAATATACAGGGAAAATCGTGCACTTGATAGCCAATTCCATCTGCGCCACCACTACTTCAAAGGCACCCTTCCCTTTTCCACTTTGGCTTTGTTCCAGCTTTTTGCAATTATGTCCATGTGTCCATGCATGATTGCATAGGGTAAAGGCATCCAAATATCAAGAATGTTTTAAATTTTGTCATTTCAAAATCACTTTTAGCTCCGTGACAGTCTTCCGGAACAAAGCGGTCTTTGTATCCACCGCTTAGCTTTCTGTGTTGGCGAGTGTGATGGCGGGTTCCACTGATATTTTGCGCGCTTAAGGATAACGTCAACTACAAAACAACCAACGCCGTTTGTGGAGTGGAAAGGAAGTCGTATTTTTGCAAGGTGACTTAAAAACCCATCCCTCAGACTGCAAAAATTAGCCATGGGAGGATTAGCGCTTTAGTCGTGTTTGAAGGGAGGGGAGGGGAGGGGAGGAAATGAGTGGAGGGAGGTGTTGTCTCGTTTCATCTTTCATGTACTGATAGTATTACATTGGGTGGATTTACCTTGGTTGTGGGCAGATAGTAGGATAGGGTTGGATTTCTTCTAACTTCTTGAGACGAGGTGAAAATCACACCAAAACTCTGCCCTGTTGGGAAAATACTGTATTTTGTATAGATGATTTTTTGACGGAAATCTTTTCTAGCCCAAGAAGTCTCCAGTGGATATTCCATTTTTTGCTTTTATATACTCATGCATTCACGTGGTTTCCTTCTATTTCATATGAATGCAACGAATTTCGATGAAACCACCTTCGTCTACTTCTGATCATTGCACTGACGCATATCCGAGGCCGAGGAGAAGTGATATTTATTTTTGTGAAATTTGAGGAAAGTGTAAGACTGAAGTGAGGTAATATTCTCTTGTCACCCCACTTCACAAGTTCGGTGGAAGTGCAGGTGGATTATTAGTGATTGGGCTTACCATTTTGCGTAAATGTTTGACTTCCGGATGTATTGGTCCTACCAACCCAATTTACTGACCTCATGGTTTGTCGGCGGCGCAGTAATACAAACACACATTTACCCTAATTTCAGTCAGTTGAGGCAGACCCTTGCTAGCAGCGTGAACAATGCAACACTACATATTTGTCTTTCAAAATGATATTTTCATTTTGACAGAACTCACCCACCTATTCCAATACCGTGAATGTGCACAGCCTCTATTTACAATGCAAGCTTGGCAGTGCAGTCATTATTAAGACTATTATCATGAAAGTGCAGAGTGTCAAGTCCCCCCTAAAGCGGTAATTTGCAATGTCACCACAAAGGATTTATTAGGAACGTAGGGACTGAAAGCCTTGCTGCCGAGAGTGAAGAACAGACGTCAGTCCAAAGAGTCCGTGCAGCCAAGTGCAAAAGTAAAGTAAAAGCATCATTGTTACAAAGTAGACAAATAACAAACAAGTCTGGTATTTTACATTAAACGACCACTTCCATAATGACCAATCCAACCGTGACTCTCCAAGGTATTCGTATTGTAAAATGCAGAATTGCCATCCCAAAAGCACGGTTAGGTGTGTAATCCTCTATAGCAGCAATTTTCGTGGGAACACATGAATGTGAAGTTACTGGGTATGGTTATGCACCACATACATCAATGGAAACATGTTGAGACATTATTCGATCCCAAAGATGTAGCCAACGCTGAACATCCGGCATCTGAGCTGAGAAATCTCACTCAAGATGACCGTTTGAACGTGTTTTCTACCAACAGCACACATGTGCGTCATCAGCATTTTCCTACCCATACCTGAAGCCACAAATATGACGTATCGAATATGGTAGCTGACTGCACTAAATCGCACTGTTGACGGAGTTTTGAGTTTCAAACGATTAGGTAGATACTAAAAGTTTTTGGGGTGGATATAATTGCAGTTTTTAGTTTTAGAGCATCAGTTGCACTGGTGCAAGTGTCCGCTGACAACCAGCATCGTCATATTGAAGCAACATGATTTCCGGCTGTGGAGATCAGTTGTGCACAGAGATCTTAGAGTGAAAAGAACTGTAAGGTTGGTAGGTGAACCAAATGTCATACAAGGAGCTAAGATGGACCATGCTCAAATGAAAACAAGTTTTGCGTCTCAAATTTATCATTGGAGCTGGAGAGTATTGAACAATTTGGAGGAACTCGATAGCACAAATTAGAGAGACAACAGAGACAAGAAATAGTTTATAGCATCTTTTTTTGCTTACGGATAGTTAATATTAATTGACTCGAACATCACGCATTGGTAAGGATCAGTCAGAGACAGAAAGTGACTTAACTGACCAGAAAAGAGAAGATTGCTTTGATGCTCAAGAAAACGCTCAATGGAGGCGAACCAACCCACACTTGGTAGGACAACCTTCCCTCCATCAGGTGACACACAAACAACACTACCACTCACTCCATCTCGCCCAGAAATCAGAAGCCTCTCAGGAGCATGAAAGCAGCAGCAGCAGCAGCAGTAACAACGCTTCATTGACACAATCTTCACCTGCCACATTACACTTTCTTTCCCGTCATCGGCCCAAAAGCATCTTTCTTGCGTAGGAAGGTGACGTCTTGACTAAGTGGTTTGATGAGCCGATCGGCCTTAGGAACGGCTTTGGGTTGAGTGAGCCCCTGAATGCTGCTTTTATGATCCACCCTTGACCGAACCGATGCACCATCGTCTGCTTGTACTGCGATGGCATGGCATAGGGGAGTGGAATCCTTTTAACCTGTTAACCGATGAAGAAGATGCAGGCATTCATGCTTAGAAAAACGCAAAACAAGGATTGTACCAACCCAAAGTGTCAAGTTAAGCAAGAAAGTAGAAACCTATCAACATCTATTGTGCGAAAACTCTTAGAAGGATCTCGAATACTACACTCTTTTCACCAAAAATAAACGGGCATGGCTCACTTTGACATACTTGCATTGCTTATACCTCCCCAAAACGGAGATGTTTAATTAAAGCTAATATTTAACTCGGGTAATTCTTCTGAGCGATTAAACTTAGGTATGTATTCCTCTCATCAAATGAAATGCTCGAGTGAAGAATTGAGACTTCCGGTCATGTGAATCACGCTGTGAATGTTAAATTCACACGAGGCCTCTCACGTATTCAAAGTTTACAATAAGTGTGATTTCTTCTAATACAAAGTGGTGGATCCTGAGTTCTCACAATTCAGCCATCAAAAGCACTTTTAATTTAACAAAACCACGTCACATGGAACAGTGCGTATGATCTCATTCAGGAGGTCGCAAAAATTGCAGCAGCAAGTACCGCAACGATGGACTTGCGCCTTTCTGTTCCGTATGGTGTATGAAGGTGAAAAACAACTGCTGTTATTTCGCAAGTCTGGACAGGTTATAACAAGTCATTGTCACGGGCTTAGTTGAGTGTCGCACCAAATTTTGGCCACCTGGAAGATCACTGAACATGATTTTGAATTTGGAATATGAAAGAGGAATATTTGACATTGGCCGCCCTTAGATTTGCGAGAAGCTTCGAGAAGACACAAAGTGGAGCAGTTTCATCTCTAAATGCTCAACATTTGCACTATTTCAAAAAGGGTGATAAACGATGGCAACTGTCAATTATTAATCTGAGGTCAGTTCACTTTCATGCTTGTCATGTACTAGACGGTGCTGAAATTGTATGGAAATGGGCCCGAAAGCATTCAGTTCATGCGAGGAAAAATTATGCAAATGAACCCTCACTAAACACCCAACTTCCCTTCCAACAACCCGCAACCGTAAATGGGAGGGTAAAGCAAAGAACGATTGTGCTTAAACACACAAGTAAACAATTTGAGAAAATTTTGCCGTACTGCTCTCGACAACTTACTGCGGTTTTCTACCGGGTCTATTAACGGTATGGATATGCTCACATTTCGAGAGTGGTAAGAAAGAGTACAAATTAGCAGAGAAAATCCTACGAATGGGTTCCTTGTTCGCTACATTAAATCATACAACGTGCTTTGTGAGGGTGGCATTCGGCTTCTTTTCCTACATGCTCCTATTTACTCTCAAGTTTATTGGAGCCATGATTTGTGGAGGGTAGTCCAATGACACCTCAAACGCTATAGTCACCAAACAGCTTGGCATAATAGTAGACCATCACATCATTTACTGCGTAGAATAACAAGCAGTAACACTTGCCACTGTGCAGGAGCAAGGTCTCTTAGTTTAAATCCTATTAAGGCATGATTTGTAGTGAAAGAATTGGTAAAGTTGAGGCACAACATAGTGGATCAGAGTGGTAACTCAGTAGAGAGTAGGAAGACATTCCCAAGCTCAGAGCTGTGCTAATTTAAGTGCCTCAAGGCAGTTTGCTTCTTCCCACCAAATTGTGCATTTTGACAATGGAGAGGAGGAGGCAATGATCAGTGCGGGACTAAAAAGTGGCTATTTACAAATCTAGGAACTAAACTGAATCACACTGAGCCAACGGACAACTAACCATTTCCCAACTAAGCAAATCCGAACTGTGGAAGTGAATAATGAAGTAAAATGTCTCCTAGACAGATGCACTAAGACTTATGAAGGGACGATCACAACAGTCTACAAGCCATCCAATGCAAACTGAAATTGTCTCGAGCTAGCATGCCGATTGAGAATACTGAAAATTCGGTTTGCCATGATATTTTATGGTTGGCTACAGTGGATGAACGGAATGCATGTAAGTGATTTAAATCCAACTGATTTTGAAGAGGACACAAGATACGGTGATATGCAATGGTCCGTATACACAGAGGATTACAAATAAGATTTGTTCCCAATCTTAGGGAATCCCTAATTTATTGTTTAGTGAAAACAACCTCCTCACTTACGATACAATGAAGATTGGTTAAGAACGTAGGTAAACACGAAATTAACAGTCGCCAGTGCACATGGAATACTTCAAATTCCCTCCAGATAGCTCTTAACAGTTATGAAATTGCTCCAGTCTTATTCACTTCACCAACGCCAAAGACTTCACAGCTAGTACACTTCTCCTGACCTACAGACTTGGGAACATCCTCTGCCTTCGCAACTGGTCTCATTCCATTCTCCGACCTACTAACCCCAGCCACTTCCACTCCTACCGCCACCAATGATGGTGTCAACGCCTTCACAACTGGCAAACTCAACCCTCTCCTGCTTCCTCCACACGTGAGTGATCCCCTTCTTGACAGAAACCATCCACCCTGCTCTCATGTGTTGAACTCGACAAGAAAAAAGAAACCGTTTTTCATAAACCAACCAGACTCGACCACACTTACCATTCCTAAATCCTTTTTTACTGGA